CCAAGTCCCAGGTTGCTGATCTGACTTTCTGCCTCATTTACACACAATTGCAGGGTCTCAATTGTTTCTCTCACTATTGACAACATAACATACATACTGTATATTGTTTCTCACTCTTAATATTTGTTTTTTCATTTTTGTATTTCTTTGTGGTTCTTTATTATTATTATTATTATTATTATTATTATTATTGTTATTATTATTTTAATTTTTTTATTTTTTTATTATAAATTTTACTTATCTGAATTATTATTATTATTATCATTATTATTATTATTATTATTATTATTATTATTATTATTATTATTATTATTATTATTATTATTATTATTATTACAACTTCGCCCCCCAGGCCCCGATGTGGGTCAGTGACCTGTACCCGGGTGGGGGTAATCCCCGTAAAAAAAAAAAAAATACACCTCGGCTGGGATTCCATCAGGCCCTACGGCTTTGTTATTTTTCATCTGTTCGATGGCAGTAGCTGCCTCATCCAGGGATGGAGGAGAGCTGAGGTGGGTTAGCTCTGGCTGCTGAGGGACTTGCTGGGTAGTCAGAAAATCCACACAGGTGTTTGGATTGAGCTCTTTCCAGCGGTGAAGGATGCCTTTATCGTCTTTAATCAAGGAGTTGTTGTCGGATGAGTGAAGGGGGGTTGCACCACGAGTTATTGACCCATAAAATGTTTTAGTGGAATAGAAAAATTTGCGCATCTTGTGCTGATTTGCAATTTTTTGTGTTTCACATGCTGTATTTTTAAACCAGTCGTTCTTTAGATTGCGAAGTTTACATTGGGCCGCCGCTTTCTTCTTGCGGAAGGTACCAGCTTTGGTTCGAGACCAAGGATTGTTTTGCCAGTCAGTTAAGGCAGCACGTTTATCTCTGACGAGCACACACACACACACACACACACACACACACACACACACACACACACACACACACATATACACACACACACATATACACACACACATACACACATACATTGTGATGTTACTACATCTACATGTAATGAGGGTGAAATAAGAAGTACAAGTAAGATTTATTCGTTGTAAGATTGTAAGGTGAAAAAGTTGGTAGCGTGGCCGATTAGTTATTTAACCATTAATATATATTCTTAGGGGAATTTTTCTGAACACTACTTTTAAGTACAGCTATTTATTAGTTAACTGAATGGTATGGACACATTAATATATCATTACATCGAAGTTACTAGCCAATGACTCCCGGACACAAACAAGAAATGGATACACTTCCCACCATAAGTAACTCACCCTCTTACAATGACTCACGTGTGACCTGAGGGCGGCCCAGCGGGTGGGGAATTGGTCTGCAGGTGCTGCTGAAGAGACTGGTCCCAGCGGTTGCTGGACTCTATCTCCTGTGGGAGACTCTGCTAGCTGGAGACTGTGCTGGGGAGGGAAGTCTCCATCCCAACCTCGACTCGCGACGAGCGTGACTCCATGGGTCTCCGAGTTCTGATTCTCCCTGTGTGTCTCTCGGAAGGAGTTGTCGGCCCCTTACATTGTCGGTGTCAGGCCGGCAGATGTCATCACTAATTATCACTAATCTGGGCCTGTCGAGACAGCTGTGTTTGAACAGGTTTATGGTGCTGGCTGGAGTGTAGTTTATTAAGTTAACACGGTCAATGACGCTGGTTTGACTATTCACTTGGCGGTGAGAACATTGTGTCCGTGACCTCTACTGGGTCACGTCTTAATCTCACTTTAATTATGAAGGGTGGGTCAACTTAGGTGGGTGTACACCTGCTCATCCAGTTACTGTTACATGTGCTGTTCTTCTCTGGGCTGTAAGCTTGGTCTGATAAACAATCATTACATACACATTATTATATATACACATTAGTACATGTAAACATTAGTTCATGAAAACATTCGTTTATGTACACATTAGAACATTAGTATATGTGCACATTAGCACATGTATACATTGGTATATGTACACATTAGTATATGTACACATTAGCATATGTATACAATAGTACTTGTACACATTAGTACATGTGCATATTAGTACATATACACATTAATACATGTACACATTAGTACCTGTACACATTAGTACATGTACACATTATTCCTATACATTTTACTACATGTACACATTATTCCTGTGCATTTTAGTACATGTACACATTAGTACATGTACACATTAGATCTGTACACATTAGTACATGTACACATTAGACTTTATAATGAGACAAAACTCACAAGAAGAGGATTACATATAAGTAGGAAGTATAGAGAGTAGGAATGTAAAGAGAAGAAGAGTTTGGTAGCGTGGCCGGGATGTTATTTACTCTGAGTCAATACACTTATTTTATACGTCACTGCATCAATACACATATCTATTCTGTTCTTAAGGGACAACTTCTCAAACACCACTTCGATACAACTATTTATTAATTCACTCAATGACATGGACACATTAATATCAATATTATATCGGGGCATTAACACATTATGTTACGTTACTCGACACTGACTCTCGGACACAACATGAATGAATACACGTCCCACAGTCGGTAACTCACCCTAGGAATCGTTCTAACAATGACTCCCGTGTAACCTGACGTAGGCCCAGTGGGTGTTGGCTGGGCTCTCGTATGCGAGGCTCTGCTTAGGTGGTGACGTCGGGAAGTCTCCCCCTCCGACCTGGGGGGACGACGAGCATGACTCTGAGAATCTCCAGAGTAATGAGCCTCTCCTCAGAACGTCCGAATAACAACCAGAATGTCCAGAATCACCGGCCCAGCCGGTGTTTGACCTTCGCCAATTAACACTAAACTGGTTAGATCTGGACAGCTGTGTTCAGGTGTGGTCATGCCCAGGTGTGTAGGTGTGGTTGTAGGTCACCTGGCTAACTCAAGTCATTAGCGGGCGAGGTCAGGTCCCTGGGGTGTGTCCACCTGGTATGTTCGGGTACCACGAGGTATGCAGTGTACTTGTTGCTATATGTATCACAATCCTCTGGGATGTAAGCTATGGTCTGACATTCACGGAGAACTGATGACACATATAGACAGCAACATCACGTGTAGTATCTAAGATAGTCCCTGGGCGACAATATAGTCTCACATTTACAAACAATAATCTCATAGGTGTATGTTTTTCTACTGGCGCTAGTTTGATCTGACAAAGCTCACTATAACTTATACATATTAGTACATGTACACATTAGACCTGTACACATTGCTACATGTACACATTAGTACATGTACACATTAGACCTGTACACATTAGTACATGTACACATTAGACCTGTACACATTAGACCTGTACACATTAGTAGTGGTACACATGGTTGAGAGGTAAGACCAGGGAGGCCAGGAGTCAAGTGAACACATACGGCCTAAGTCACTACTCGTCAAGCCGGACAAACACTTCCAGCCTCATGTCTACGATACACAGGTGAAGATGTCAACAATGTGGAGAGAGCAGCCGTCGAGCGTGACCGACTTTAGGTACATAACATTGAAGGTCAAGGGAGAGATAATAATGTTTTGACTGTTATATGTTAGGCGTTTGACGTGCATTAAGCAGCTGCTGCAGTCCATGGAACAGTAAAACAAGTGTTGGTTATATAGCGTTCACACTTCTCCCTAATTAACATCAACAGTAATGCTTCAGTAGGAACTGTGTGTAGTACAAGTGAGGTGAGAGCGATCTACCCTGACGAGGATAAGGATTTGATCAAAACTGACACAGTCGTGCACTGCAGCCCCGCTGTTTATACCAAACATTAACACATTTTAAAGATAAAGTGTTACCGTTCTTTCTATCAGTGTGGTAAATTATTTACATTCATTAACTCACATCAAGGTCTTCTTAGCATTTAATAAATATAAATGACGGAAATTTCTCTTGTAGTAATTTCCAACTTATTTTAAGTGGTCAATCTAAGGGGTTCAGAGTTGACACCAAACTGTGTGTGTGTTAAGAAGACGTTTATAACGCGTGTATACAGCAGGCCTAAGTATGAGTGTCATGTGAGAACCCCTGAACTTACAGTGAACCTGTACAATAATTCAGGTGTGTCGGGGAGATATAAATGTCAACACACAAACATCAGCAACAGTATGAGGACCTTCACGTCAGTTCCTTTAATTCACTTTCACCATCATAGACTGGACGGCCATTTTAGCTTCTGAATGTTCACATACATAATTATTATCCTTCTACTTATTCTTAAGTTTTGTGTATTATGGGTAAAAGTTGTCAAGAACAGTCTTACACGTGATCCTTCAGTCACAGACAACGTGACTCATGGAACCAAACATAGTGGAGAAAACACAACACTTTGATCCTTGAGTCAAATTTATCTTGTATAAACTCTGCTCTTAAGGTGACTAAAGTTCACCTGTAAATGAAGTAAAGTGCAGGTAAGTGTAAAAGGCATGACAGTGTTTACTGGAGCAGCTGGATATTACAAATGTCCAAGGGACCAGTGGGAGATAAATCCCTCACCTGTAGGTACTGACCAGTCACTGGGCTAGTGGCAGTGAAAGTGATCATCTCACCTGTAATTAATGCCGTGTTTGGGTAAGTGTCAAAGACGGGGTTGTTGAAGTCGCTGGAGGTACCAAAAGTTATCTCTACATTATCAAAAGTTGGCGTAGGATGGCCGTCACCACGCGTCCAGACATAGATTGTGCTGATAGTTTGTGGGGAGTCTAGAGTGGCCCGCCAATACCCTTGAACGTCACTAGGATCCGCAGCCCAGCAGTAAAATAGAGGACCATGGTACTGTGGGATATGACAGTAAAACCCATTTATTACAAATTCTGGATATAATCCTTCGGGGTGAACAGTGGAGGCTGAGGTGCTCACAATATGGGACGTAACATCTCCTTCCTCCAAGTATGCATAACAATAATCGTAGGTAAAAATACCAGGATAGATGTGACCAACAGCTGCTCCAGGCCAGCGACCATCCAGGTGGCCTCCGTTGATGTGACACGAGGCGCCTGAAACATAATAATGACATTAACTAAGATGACTATTCCTCTCAACTGATGATGTAAGAATGACTTCAGCCATGAATAAGAATATATTTCACAAAAGCTCTAAAGTTACCCAAAAGACATAACCTCGACACATATGTTGGCTTAATATCACAAAACTAAAGTAGAGAAAGTATGGAAAGATTCTCTTCGTTTGTGTAGTGAGCTTACTGCTCCCACAGCTGAGTTCTTACCAGTGTTAAACGTGGCCTGTAGGATGATGGTATAATGAGGAGATTCTAAGACAGGCGACAATAACAGGAGGATACAATTAAGGGAGGAGAGGGCTAATAGGTAGGTCTTTCGGGTACCATGTAGTTTGAAGGAATAATGGAGGGAGGGAGGGAGTGAGTGAGGGAGAGAAGGGTTGGCCTAGGGAACTGTCATACATTATTGATGTATTGTTCTTAACCAGATCATACATATTCCGTCCAAAAGAGTGCAACCAAGCGCCAGTAATACTACAACTACTACTACAACTTTTTTTTTTTTTTTTTTTTTAGATGTGGCCTCCAGCTTCCCCCAATAGCCACACCTTCGCCGCCATTTTATTACCTTAATATTAAATATCCTAATACATAAGTCGCTATCCTATCTGTGTTGAATTAGTTGAGTCTCAGATCTATGCGGCATTCAGCGACTGTTGCCTCATAGTCAATATCTGCAGCTGTTGTCGGAATTGGGGCAGAAGCTCTTGTTCCCCTGAGGCAGAGCAAAGCCGACCGAAGGAGAGAGAAAGACAGTCGACATCTCATCCAGGCTGTAACGTAGCTTCTGGGCTGCTGCTTCTGTTCGGAGATCACTTCCTCGAGTCTGGCATAGAAACTTCTTGCACTTGGTCCAATCCCAGCAGAGGTTGTGAACACTAGAGGAGTGAAGCTGCCTTGACCAACGTTTTGAATTCTCTCCCCATATGCCCTTATCTTGTTCTCGTTCCTCCTGTGTGCAGCATCGAGAGCGAGGTTACGGTGACATGCGGCCATGGGATAAAAAATCCTGATGTTGAAGAAAGCTCGCTGTCCCCGCGTCCAGAGTCTTTGAGCACTGACGTCAACACGGGCTTCGTTAGATGTGTTTGAAGTCCTATGTTGGAAGATCTCACCGTCCAAAGGAAGGAGGGTCGGTTCTATCATGACATCCCGGCAGATTTCCTTCAACATATTTTGCTGTGAGGTCCCTTATTTCGTCATGCCTCATGCATATGAAGCCCCCTTTCTTGCACACCATGGCGTGATCGACGTCATAGGAAGAGCCACACACGCATTGGGAAGGCAAACTTTCTACTGGCCAACCGTACCTTAGAACAATGGCATCTGTAAATTCTTGTTTATTGAGACTGAAACCATTTGCCCTTATCGGTAACGTAGTTAACCAGTTCGAGGCGCCCACCTCCTGCGCTATAGCTACTTTTTTTTCAAACTTTCTGGTACCTGCAGCAACAGTTGCTGCAGCTTATCATTTTGGCAGTGCTGTTGTTCTGTCATAATGGACATACGAATCTTGTTTACTTCACTGGTATCCACCTCCCCTGTTGCGTTCTGGGCTATTATGTGGTCCGTGAGGGCTGCCGTGAGCATAAGTGAATTTTGATGTTCAGTGGCAGCAATTTCCTCTGGATTGGGTAGTCCCATACCTCCCAGTCTCGGTGGTAGTGCAAGGAGTGATCTTTCTGCTGGGGTTAAGTGAGGGTGTTTCACTAATTTGGGAATGAAATTGACACTGATAGCTTCTTCCAGAGGGTGGAGGAGGGGTCCTATATCAGGGATAGTACGCATCAGGTAGTTCCAATGATGCTTGACTCCATGGGTGAATGTAGCAAAAGCCGGATTTCACTAACCCACTCATTCACCTTTCCCGCTACTTACTTGGTCTTGAAATCTGTTGTTTCAATTACTGCGCCTAGATGTCTTTGGCCGTCCTTTGTTATTTTGACCTCACCTCCGCCAAACACCTCCATTGCCCATTCATAATGTTTTGGCTTCACGATGAGGAAGGACTTGCTGGCGTTTGTTACCAAGTCCCACCACTTTTTGATGCCCTCCACTTTTCCTGCTCCTGTAAGGTCATCAGCATATGCCACTTGTTTGACCCCAGCTGTTTTAAATTATATTTCTTGTTGGAGCACTGATAGGCCTATTGCATACATAGCCATCGCAACAGGGTCCCCCTGTGTTGTTCTCTCGGTTGACTGTAAGATGGTATCACCTCTTAGAGCCTTGTTGTTTACTATATAGAGGTCTGATGAATTCCTATACGAGTTTTCAACATACATTGCAAAGCTTGGACACTTGATCTTGATGTTGTACAGTGCAGCCTTGTGGTTAAGTATGTTGAATGCGTTTGAAGCATCCACCAGGAGAACGGCCTCACAATCACGCTGCTCAAATATCAATCTCATGGCGTGAATGGCGGCCTCCCCGCCAGCCTGGTGGCCAGCACACACACTTGTAGGTTCACTGCTGCTGCCATGACATCATCCTTTACCATCTCCATTATGCATTTTCCGATGATCCGCCTCAGCACTTCCCCCACCCCTATAGGCCTACATCCTGGATTCTTTTCCAGGGGAATAAGGCGGCAGGCCGTCAGGGCCTGGAGGTGATGGCAGCACGAGGATGCCAGCTTTCTTGCAAGGACAGCAATGACAGTGCAGCGATCGCTTGCTACAGGGCCAAACTTGTTTGTGCTGAGGATGACTCTCTAACCGTTTGCATCCAGACCTGAAGGGCCGGCTCTTCCTCGAGTCTTCAGTGCCTTTTTCCACACCATCTCTCCTGTTATTTTCTCGAACAGGACAGCATTTGGTGGGATATAGTCACCCTCGAACCTGATGCCTTCTTCATCACTTGCAGGGGGATGTTTTTTCTTCAGTTGTTTTAATGTCTCTCTGTTTATTGGCATCACCCCACCGGAGGATTCCTCTGTGAGAGATCTTACCGCCAGAGACACTTTTCCCACATGCATTTTGTTTCGAAATTTTCTTGCCATGTCATCGGTGTTTTGCTTTCCATCACCCGTAATTTTTAGTCTCTCCTGCAGTGTTCTTGCTTCACATAGGAGATCAGCTAGGGCCCCAGTCTGCCACATTGCCAATCTTCTCTTCATTGCTGCCACATTTTCTTTGTGCTTAATCTTTGTGTGTGTCCTCTGACAAAATTGATGTGGTATTATTGCCAGTATATGAAGAGCTAAAGGGGCGAGGAAGCGGTCCTGAGTGTAATCACTCAGGAGGCGAGTCATATCCCGAATCATTTCTTTGGTGGCCGCACACTTGGGTGGTTCAAATAGGTTAGCGGGCGACCACCTGACAATTTCTGAGTAGGTTTCTTTGACCCATATGTCTGCATTTTCCATCGACATGCCATTCCACTGAGGTGGCTGTCTCTCATTCTCCTCGTGGACGTCTGCTACTAATGGAGCAGCATTTATTAGTACTACATTTTCAGGTTGAGTAGACTCACTGCTATCATTTAGGATATCATCGAGCGGTTGGGTCCAGGTGATATCCACTGTGGCCACCTGTGTCGGCTCCCTGCAACGTGGGTTCCGACAATGGTCTCCCTTTCTGCAATCCACACATGGTCGGTTGTTTCTCGCACATTCACAATTTGTGCAGTTTTGGTTCTGACTAGCACAGACGCAGCAATGTCTGTTACCAGGCATAGTGAACAGCACCTTGGGCGACAGATACTTCCGCCTCCGACCTCTGCTTTGGTCCCATACAGACAAAGAAACTAGTTTTTATAAGTAAAGGGCAAAGAGGGGACGGGCTGGCCTGCGGTGTCCGGATAGTAGGGGCATACGCGCGTGCCAGGTTGTGTTGGGCACCCCCCCTGTGGGCGACAATCCACACATCAGAATGATCCACTGGGAGCAAGAATTGTCACACCTAACACTTGTTTATGTAACCTTGGCAGAGATAACCACTATTTCTATGGTCTCACTGATGTATTATTAGTTATATATATACTCACTTGGTCAGCCGACACTACATGAAGTGGCCGTTACTTGAGGTGGGGGGGGGTGGGGGGGCGACCGCAAGCGCAGAGCACTTGGCCCCATAGGGGCGAGAGTCGCGATGCCACCCCTGATCAAGTAGGCCTATCGACACACTGGCACTGACACTTGGCAACTGCAGTCGCTGTCCATTCAAACACTCACAGGCTTACTTGAAGATCGCCGGTGAACACACGCAATATTTGCGTTTAATGCCGTAAGGTATGAGAAGAGCCGTCGGCGACGATGCTCAAGGTGACATCCAATATTCATCGACACACTGTGAATTTCTCGCTCCCACAAACTGAGTATATCCCCACCAATAACACTTTAGATCAGGGAAGGCACTCCAACACACCCACGCCGCCCGGGCCTACTACTACTACTACTACTACCTCCAGCCTCCCCCAATAGCCACACCTTCGCCACCATTTATTTACCTTAATATTAAATATCCTAATACATAAGAAACTATCCTATCTGTGTTAAATTAGTTGAGCCGCAGATCCATGCGGCATTCAGTGACTGTAGCCTCATAGTCGATATCTGCAGCAGTTGTCGGAGTAGGGGCAGAAGCTCTCGTTCCCCTGAGGCAGAGCAAAGCCGACCGAAGGAGAGAGAAGGACAGTCGACATCTCATCCAGGCTGTGACATAACTTCTGGGCTGCTGCTTCTGTTCGGAGATCAGCTCCGCGAGTCTGGCGTAGAAACATCTTGCACTTGGGCCCATCCCACCAGAGGTTGTGAACACTAGAGGAGTGAAGCTGCCTTGATCAACATTTTGAATTCTCTCCCCATATGCCCTTCTCTTGTCGTTCTCGTTCCTCCTATGCGCAGCATCGAGAGCTAGGTTACGGTGACAAACGGCTACTACTACTACTACTACTACTACTACTAATAATAATAATAATAATAATGTTCGATTCAATGAATGTTGGCATGAAATCTGTTAAAACTTTCCAGTGTTGATGCACGTTTCGTTGTAAATACATTTCATATGGTATTGCTAATACGACAATTATATTGTATCGATTAGCGAAAATTAAACGAGAAGGTTAGGACAAAAAGTATCTCAATGAAGAGGTTCGATGAATTTCAGAATGAACACTGACTCCTGTTGTCTCGGCAGGGTTGTCAAAATCCTTCATCCGTTGTGTCACATTGTCTAACACAAAATCGTAAAGATACTTTTGTAACAAAGTGTTCAGTATATTAAAAAAAAAAATCTGTCCACACTCTGAGTGAGACATTATGGCCCGAATTCAGAACAGTGATTTGAAACCGCATGGAAGTCTAAACCAAGGATAGAGCGAAGATTGAAATTTGTTGGTATTCAGAACACTGGCTTGAGCCAACACAAAGATTCAAACCGGGTTTGAGATCGGAATTATCGATCCTCACGTTAATCCAGCCTGGAGGCAGGTTTGGCTGTCGATCCTTCAAGCAAGTCAACATGAATTTTGACAGAGTGCGCTTTTCGGCGATATCGTCAAATTGGAAATTTTGTAGAGAGAAGACTGATGGTTGATAGGCAGAATCCTATCGATTTTTATGATGACACACAATTCACACACCAATATAGGTTCAGAAGGGGAGATTTCCTTGATATTTTCCGTGATATGGAGCATCTACCTGACAGACCTGTTGGCTATGGTTCACCTCTACCTCCCATTCATCACCTGATGATTGGTTTGAAATTCTTCACAACGAATAGTTTCCAGGTAAGAAAGATTCTGGTTACTGAATGAGTTATGGTAATGTGTTACAACACTTTAGTGTTAAGGGTCCAAGAAGATCAAGTGAGTAAATGTAAAGAACGCTGACGCTTTTTTATTTTGAGTGTTTTTCTTTAGGCAAACTATTTTGATGTATTTTCAATATATCTGATGCAATGCTGAATGCATTTTGATTTTAATGTATTAATAAAGGAATTTTTTTTCTTAACATTACTAATCAGGCTGATGTGAACAAAGCTAAATGTAAAATTTGTGGCCAGACAAATGGCCAAACACTACAGCACTCCGTCCTAGACTGTGAGGGAAAAAGAACCTGTTAGGGACAGGTCCAAGCACACTGTGTGTGTGAAATGGTACAACATTTTATCAGTGGCAGGATGATAGCTGGTATATAAGACTACAACTATTTTTTGCACCTGTTGGCTAGGTCAGGTCCTAAGTATAGCCGCGAACAAAAGTTCACTTCCTCTCAAATTAAAACAGTATCGACCGCAAATGATATAATATTAAGGGTTTCTTGCCTTTAATAAGTTTAAAGGCTTCTTACCTTTAATAGGTTTAAGGGTTACTTACCTTTCATAAATTTAAGGGCTTCTTACCTTTAATAAGTTGAAGGGCTTCTTACCTTTAATAAGTTTAAGGGCTTCTTACCTTTAACACAAAAGGCCCTACACAGAGGATCCTCAAGACATTCACCAGCACAAGCAGATTTTGAGATTATCTTCATCTCTATAATTCTCATTGTACATATAGGAAACGGATCATTGTGTGACCACGCCACCTGGGGAGAGAAAATGGGGGAAATTATCCATATTAAGTAGTAAGCCTCTGTTAGTATTATATTAGGAATAATTTATAAAGGAAATATTTAGAAAAAACGTAAGGACAGAGTTGGTGGTCACCTTGAACATTGTCTTGCTTCTTATGGCGGCAGTAGTGACCCGGAAGGTGGAGAATAGTACCATCATCAATATCATCACATTTCCCGCCATCGTCTTACTGTTGACACATACACCATCGACTTCCTTATAAATATTGTTGTTAGTTGAATTACTTAAAAATATTGTGACGTGGTAGTTTAACCTCTTAAAACATAATAATGGCAGGTAAACTTTAAAAAACATAATGCTGGTATTAGAACATAACAGATATAAGTCATGCCCCGGTTAACGTCCTAGATACGTTGTTCGATCATCACATAAACTTTGTATTTATACTTACATGTATGTGGAATACTATATACGTACATATACACTTTTACTCTTAAATCACTACTGTAATGTGATACAGGTGATTAATTTTTATCTCTTGTGCAGATGGGGGAGAGGGAGGGAGGGAGCGAGCGAGAGAGGGGGCGTGGGGGGAGGGGAGGTAGTACTTTTGACATTTGGCACAGGCCCAGGTCTAACGCGTGTATATTTATCAGTTCTTAAATGACTAAGCTTCTCTCTTATAAAAAGCCAGTGAAATGACCTGGGTGAATATAATTAACATTGCTGGGATTCTTGTAACATACTGATTAATTTGAATATACACATGCTGTAATTCGCACTAGACATAACAATTTTAGTACCGTAATCAAATTAGTACATGTGCACTCCAGCTTTGCACTAAGGTCATTTATTTCTGTTACGTTTCTTTTAGTATGGTGTGTGCATGTAAATGGATGAAAATAAATGAAGAAATTTATGTAAATCTCCCCAAAAATACAGTTGAAAAACTTTTTATAAAATGTTCTACAGTACTGTACACTAATGTACAAAATTTTTTATCTCTTGAGCAAAATATATGACGTTTATATTCAAATTATTGGCTGTCTTGCAAGGATTCCAGCAATGCAAATTATAATATCCTAACTTTAGTCTGAGATATTATATAAGATAAAAACTGTAAGCCTAAAACCCTGGTTGGGGGAGAGGGAGGTGCCAGCGAGGGGTAGGGGGGGCGGGGAGTTGAGGCGATATGTTTGACAGTTTGAGGCGAAGGTCTCTGTGTGTTTATTTAGCAGTCCTACTAAGCTTCTCTCATTTTAAAATGCCAGTGAAATGACCAAGGAGAATATAATTAACATTGCTGGGATTCTTGTATGATACTGATTTATTTGAATATACACATGCTGTAATTCGCACTAGACATAACAATTTTAGGACCGTAATCAAATTAGTACATGTGCACTCCAGCTTTGCACTAAGGTCATTTATTTCTTTTACGTTTCTTTTAGTATGGTGTGTGCATGTAAATGGATGAAAATAAATGAAGAAATTTATGTAAATCTCCCCAAAAATACAGTTGAAAAACTTTTTAAAAAATGTACTACAGTATTATAGACTAATGTACTAAATTTTTTATATCTTGAACAAAATATATGACGCTTATATTTAAATTAATCTCTGTCTTGCAAGGATTTCAGCTATGCAAATAATATTATCCTAACTTTAGTCTGAGATATAATATAAAATAAACATAAAGAAATCACCAATCTTTTGTCTGGGAACACAAGGAGGGGAGCGTGGGAAGGGGGGCTGGAGGTGAGGTTGTAGTGGATTCCTCCCCTACAAGCGCCGGTTGTCGCTGAGTAGCCGACCCTTTTCGAATTCCCCAGCCTACGCCTCCAGCGCCGCTTGACGGAGCAGGGGTCAACTATCAACCCACGCCTACCCTGCCTTATAAGACCTCACCCCGCTGTGACCACCCTCTTTCTACTTACGGCCACCAGCAAGCAACACCTCCTCCTCCTCTGCTCCAGCCTGGCGGCTCCCGCTCCTGCTGGCGACCTTGGCGCCCCTCAAGCTGCGTGCCCTCCTATGGGCACCCTCACCAACCAGCTCTCTCTACTCAACGCTTGTAACCATGCTGCCTACACAGCACCAAGCTGCATTGTACATCCAATACAATATGTATACAGAGAGCACATTGTGAGTTTCCTTTCTCCATCCCATCCTGAGTGTGAACCAATATCTCATAACCCCACAAGGTGACAGAGTGTCTGGTGTTTGTTTATTTATTTGAAATAAGATTTGACAGTTGGCGCTGAAGGCCTGCATGTTTATTTATCATTACTTAAGAGTGACTAAGCTCTTCTCATAATTCGCCACCCAAACGACCTGGGTGAATATAACTTACAATGCTGGGATACTTGTAAGATAGTGATTTATTTAAATACCTGTATAAACAATCTATATTTGCAATAGACATAACAATTTTAGTACCATAATCATTTAGTACATGTACAATACAGGTTTGCACTTAGGTCCATTGTTAACCGAGGGACCACTGTAAACTTTTTATTTCGTAAGTAAGGAAATCAAATAAAAAGTAATGTACTGTACACTACAATAGACAAAAAACAGAAACAGTAACATAGGCATTTCTTATATCTATCAAAACATACTGTGGATATATTGTTACTGTACTGTATCATTATACGCCTGGCAGCACAATCTATAGGATTACGTGGCGCAAACGTGACTGTGCCCGCTCTAGGGCCATTTAGGTTCGCTACGTCCCATTATTTGAATGTTTTTTTTCAATTTCAATTTCAATTGTTTATTCCTTGATAGAGGAAGCGGAATCCTAGTGCTGTCACTTGACACCCCTGTACCATAACACCAGAGTCAACTGGCCAGTGTCACAAGTATATACAGTACAGTACAGTCATCCCTTGGTTGTCGCGCCTAATTGGGACTACGCCGAGTGCGTGATAACGAAAAACGCGATAACGAAAGTACAGAACCCATGGGGTTTTTATTCTAATTGGTTCCAGGCACCCAAGACCCAACCCCAAGTTTCCCATTTTATGACCATTTAGACCCACTAAATATATATATAATGTTATGGTAAATATCATAAACATACATAGGCATGGCTAGGTTTATTACAAAGTGATGAAAAGGGTACGCTCAATACTGTAGTCCACTAAACATGTAGCTATGCTTTTTTTATTTGGTCCCCCATCATACGAGTCCGTTTTCTTTCACATCAGGGCGCCTGCGTCCTTCGTTTTCTCTCTTAATCTTAGAGTGCACCAGAGACTTCGTTATTCCTTAGTAATGACACAATTTGAAATTGCAACCCCAATTGCAACTGGGGTTGCAATTGTTAAAGCAACTAGATATGTCTGATTACAACAAATGTGTTATTGTAAATTTGTAGGTGAAAGATTTTATCCTCAATAGATGTAGGTTAGCATTACACCTGAAGGCAAATGCTTAAAAAAAGCCTAAGGAAGGAAGCATATTTCTTTAACACATAATATCTGACCAGTATAGGGAGGATCATCGTGTCTCTGTCAGGGGGTCGTGGAGTGGTGGTCCAGCAGGCGTCACGGAATTTTTTTTTGCGGGGGGGGGGGGCACGGACGTATATGCGATCGGACGTTGTTCGGTCGGACGTTAACCTAAAATATAATTTTTCAAGTGAAAGAACTTTAGAATATATTTATGGTAGCAGAAACAATTAAAATTTACATTGATAATTGAATCTAAAATATATAATCTTGGTATTTGAACCACCTATGGAATAATCATGGTTGCCAAACCACCAAAAATCACTTTAGCATTTGAACCACTTTAAGTAGATGTTTGACAGTTGAACCTCAAAAAAAAAGTTAATATTGGAAGATGGATGACCCTGGACCTTCAGAAATAAAGGCGGACAAACAAATTAGCAAAACTATCTTAGCGTTCTAATGAACCGAAAGAAGAGCATATAAAGTCATGTCCTAAAATTTTATATTTAGTCAACCCAGAATGAGAGTCACGCGAGCCTGGCGTCACATATCAAACACAGGCTGAGAGAGGACGGGTTCTGTACATATCCGAGTATGGTGTGGGTGTTGGTGAGCCAGGTGTGGCTACGGTTATACAATTTGATGTTATAATATTATTGCGCTTCAACAACAAAGGTTTTTAAGCGAGTAATTACACAAGTTCATTAACAATTAAGGGTTATGAGAGAAAGAACTGTTATAATACCACACCATTGGTTCACACCGGATATCCATAACAGAGATTATAACTCAAGAACAATGGACAGACAACTCACACTATAAACCTTCCGTCACAACACAAGTCAAAGAGTAGTCACCTGTTGGCTGGGGTTGAGGAGAAGTAGTGGTAAGAGAGGAGCACCAGACTGACCTCAGCGCCGCCACTTGTAAGAATGGTCAGCTGAAACCTTGACTCACCCGGTGTCCAACTACCTGGCCACTGACCAACCAACATTCTTTATAGATCTTATGAATCGAAGCTCATTAGACATTCAAGACGTGTGGCCAAGAGCTTAATCAATTATAAAGGTGTTCTCTTTAAAACGCACCTGAGGTTTTTGCCAAATTACAAACAGTTTTTGCTTCTACTTCTATAAATGGAAACTATTACTTATACAGTACAACTAGTTTACCTGAAGATTCACCCTCCTAGTTTAAATGCACCTGAAAATTAACCACCTTGGCTTTAGGTTAGGTTAGGTTAGGCTTAGTTATGTTAGGTTAGGTTAATCTTCAAGTGAAATAAGACTGGGGATAAATCTTCAGGCAATCTATAATTTTTTTTTTCACTGATGAAGTCGTGGAAAAATAAGAGAGATTTGTCGATGAGAGAGAGAGAGAGAGAGAGAGAGAGAGAGAGAGAGAGAGAGAGAGATCTACACAGCAGAACAAAATAAATTATAGACTTTAACAATACACATCTCAACTTACCCACATTAGGTTACTGGTTCTTAAAGGTTTATATATACAGTATATATATATATATATATATATATATATATATATATATATATATATATATATATATATATATATATATATATATATATATATATATATATATGCAAGTAAATCACTGTAGGTGCGCATGATCCAGGTATATGCTGATAACCACAAGGAAAAAGAAAACACGAAGTTCCCAAGCGCTTTCGTGTAATTCACATCTTCAGGGGTGAGTACAGACTAAGGAGAAGTACAAAACAAGGTGTATATATACAGAGGAGGGTGAGACCAGGTCCACAATTGTCAGGTATTAGGTAATGACCCTACTAATCTTTAAAAAGCACCGCAACGATCGGTAGTCAGGTCAGAGGGTAAGGTGACCCAACCTTCTCACCTGGTTACAAATCTTCTTAATTACAAAATTGTCCAGTTCGTACTTGCTGTTCATGTTCTGGGTAATAAGTTCAATATACAGGAGCGAACACAAACACCTGTATAGATTTTGTAGGTTCGATTTACTGGATAAGAGATATGTACACAGAGGGAGTAGTGCTCTCCGACCTGTCTGCTTGTCAACTGCTCTATAGACGACGTATGGCAAGTGATACATTAGCAGCTTCCATACGTCGCCAGGCACATTAATTAAGCATGTGGGACATTGATAAATACATTGCCACACGCTACTAGCTAGGCTAAATAAATAATACATAAATGGAGCACATACATAATATACATAGCATAATATAAATACAGCATACAGAATATACATACACCTCCCTCCCCCCTATACGCTCATAGCAAAGTCTTGAGCGGACCTCTTCTTTTGGATCCGTTCTGAGCGTCGAGGGACTTGATCACTGGGAAGGGTATGGGACTCAACACTGGTGGCGGGGTCAGCAGAAGGCATTGTTACGGGGCGGAGAAAACGGCGGTTCCTCCACCACACACGAACACTGGGTAACCGCACCTGGTAGTCCCATGACCTACCGAGACCCATGACTACGCCGACTTTGTCCCAACGTAGGGAGGTCGGGTCCTGAACACGGACTTAGGTGCCGACACTCAACCTGGGGTGAGAACGGGCGTGGTCGTTGTAGCGGGCGACGACGTCCTGAACACGTTCGGCGGCTCGGCGATCACAATCCTCTGTCTTGGCCTGCCACTCCTTGGGGAAGGACTGAGGGTGAGCAGGGACACAAGAACGGAGGGGGCGTCCATACAAAACCTGGGCAGGGGAGCGTCTGGTGTAGTTAGGTGTGTTGCGGAGTTCAAGAAGACCCCGGTCGAAGGCCTCGCAGTCAATGTTCCCAGAAGGGGCCACCTTAAGGATGAGGTGCTTCAGGGATTTGACAGCAGCCTCAGCGTGGCCGTTGGACTGCGGGTAATGGGGCGATGACAACACATGCCGGACTCCCCATCGGTCGAGGAACACCGCAAAGTCCCGGCTTGTGAACTGAGGCCCTCCGTCGGTTCGCAGGTGCACAGGAACGCCCACGTCACGGAAGTAGTGGCGGAACTTGCTGATGGTGGCGGCAGACGTCGTGTCATTACCGCACTTGATGACAACCGGCCAACCAGAGAGACGGTCGATGATAACAAGGAAGGACTTTCCTGACACAGAGAAAAAGTCGGCCGACACAGACTCAAAGGGGCGGGTGGGGTTGTCGTCAATCATAAAGGGTTCCTGCTGCTGGCTGGGTTGTAGTACGTGGCGGGGCTTACACACCTGGACAGAATTGGAGATGTCGGGGTCGATGCCAGGCCGGAACACAGTCTGTCTTGCATGCCGTTTGGTGGCCTCGGCTCCACAGTGACTGTCGTGGAGGCGAGCCAAGGCGTGGAGACTTGAAGCAGCAGGGACAACTACGGAAGGAGAGGTGTCACTGGCCAGAGGTAGGGGTAGGGCGGCAGCAGGGTAGTTGCTGCTCCTTTCGTGCACCCTGTTGGCGTATTTTACCTCGAGAATCGGTGTTGGGAAGTCCTGGGAGATGATGGCCAACTCTTGACAATGTCTGTAGGACAGCAAAGGAGTCGGGACACCGTTATGCACATCAATCCAGGCTTGACACGACCTGTTGCCAAAGGTGACTTGTGCTTGGAGTGAACCCAGGGCCGGGGTCATCTGTGAACCATCTGCCGAAAAGCGGAGATCCTTGGGGGGCGGTCCTAGATCACTTGGAGAGAGCCCCAAGCATTGCAAATGCTGGGGACCGATGACTGTAGCATCAGCGCCGGTGTCGGGCAACATCTGAAGACGGGATGACACACTGCGGTAGGTCACAATGACACTGATGTACTGGGGGACTTTGGTCCTGGGACGCGGGGGGGAACACACATTCCTAATATGGCTCGAGCGTTGTCCAGGGTCGTCATGCTTCTGATTGGAAGACTGTGGGCGGCCCTCTCTGGTGGAAGGGAGCTGAAGCTTCCGCCGACGCTGTCCCTTGGGTTTGTTGGTAGGGCAACACTTGTCATAGTGGCCCAGACGACCGCACACGTTGCACTGGACGCGTTTAGCTGGGCACCGTACTGTGAGTGACCAGTGGCCCTTACGGTCACAACTGTTGCATGTAGACTCAGCAGCTGGACACACCTGTGTTCCGTGCTGCTTACCACAGTTGTTACAAAATGAACCGGGCGTGGACGTGGTGGGCGAAGGCGTAGGAGCAGACTTCTTGTCCTTGTACCGGGACACAGCGCGTACAGCTGTAGGGGGAGCTCGGATGGCAGAGGTGGCACACCTGGCAGCCTCATAGGAGCGACATATCGTCAACACATCCTTGAGAAAAGAGGAAGAGTCGAGGGAGGTGAGGCGTTGGACAAGTTCCTCGTCCTTTAACACCCATCAGGATCACCTGCTTCAACTGGGTCTCCTCGCACTGCTGGTGGTGGCCTAGACATATATCTACCTCTTCCGAGGCTCTCTTAAGACGTACATAAAAGGCGTCAAAAGTCTCACCCTCCATCTGTCTGCAGCTAAACAATTCCCTCCTGCACAGAGCTTCATTCTGCTGTCCTTTGATGTGCCGTTGCAGAATGTCCAGTACCTCCTCTACAGACAACGAAGAGGTCGGAGGTACCTGCAACGTATGTTCTAAGACACGCTGAATTTCCAAGGACAGGCACATATGCAGCTGGATGAGTTGTTTAGGCTGTGACAAACTCTGGAGATTCACCATTGTAGAATAATCAGTCCACCGTCGCCGCCATTCACGAAAAGTCTGGAAAGTCACATCAGGCTTCAAGATGGGCGGTGTTTGAGCAGCTGCTTTAGGTGGGGCTGGGGGGCGTGAAGGAAGCATTGATGAGGTATCTGAACCAGTCAGTACCGAGGCAGTGTTAGAGCCAGGGGCTTGGTTAACAGTGAGGCGAGATATCAAAGCTTCAAACCGTGCACTGTCTTCCAATCTCCGTTGGTGGTCTCTCTCTGCCTCTGCTTGCCTTCTGTGTTCATCCGCCACACGTCTGTTAGCTTCATCCTCGCGCCTTTCATCTCTCATAAACTTCATTAAAGCAATTATCTCTGGAGACAACGCTGAATATGGAGGTGAAGGGCTGCGCGATGTTGTGGGAGCTGGAGCGTCATGGTCAGCCTGGTCATCCATCTCTGCGGGGCTATCATCCGACTGACTCATCCGGACGCTGGTTCCACGGCTACGTAAGGCACGAGACATAACTACTTCATCTGTGTACTGTGTCTAAATCAGTGTTGACCGGTCAGCCCGTCGTATCAACAAGATCTCAGACAAAAATTTAATTAAATACACAGATAAGTAATTATATATATAAAATATATATAAGGGAGCCGCCGCGGTCAGTGAGTGTTAGTACATGTATGTGTGTGTGCGCGCGTCTGGGTGGGAGCAGTCTTCTCGAGCTGTGAGGGGGTGGAGAAGACGACTAGCGGCAGTTACCCTCCAGGCTTCGCGAGGGGAGGTGTACTGAAGTCTACTCCTTACAAATGCCCAGAACATGCCGTGTACCTTGGGAATCCTTTAGAACAAGGTCACACATGAATGGCACGAAACACACAATGCACTAAACACTTCACAGAAAATCACTGTCACTGACACTGCTCAAAGTTGCTAAATTCTTCGAGGAGGGGTGGCGGTTGACACAGGGCAAGGGGTCCATAAGCCGGCTTTCCACAAACTTTGCACTGTCACTCGTAATTATCCAGTAAAACCGGTTCACTGCGCCATGTTCATGTTCTGGGTAATAAGTTCAATTTACTGGATAAGAGATATGTACACAGAGGGAGTAGTGCTCTCCGACCTGTCTGCTTGTCAACTGCTCTATAGACGACGTATGGCAAGTGATACATTAGCAGCTTCCATACGTCGCCAGGCACATTAATTAAGCATGTGGGACATTGATAAATACATTGCCACACGCTACTAGCTAGGCTAAATAAATAATACATAAATGGAGCACATACATAATATACATAGCATAATATAAATA